CCCCAAAACCCCAAAACCCCAAAACCCCAAAACCCCTAACTTTGACTAAAATTTTGAAAATTTAAACACAAAATGGCAGAAATCATCAAGCGCTTTCCATGCTTCCTTACTATTTTAAAGTAAAATGAAATTTAGAGGGCGATTTTAACATGGTTTAGGTATCATTGACATGCAGACGAAGCTGTGTACTTACTTGATTCTCTCTGAAGTCATACTAAAAGCGAATAGCACTCGATATGAGCTAATCATAGCCCTCCAGTTCAAGAAAAGAGCACTTTCTTTGTAAGCCTATCCTTCTACCCCAACAGTTTCATATAAAGTTCCAGTAGATCATAGAATTCCTTCAAGCAATACATCTATACTGATAAAATTTTAACTAAATTGGTGCAAAATCTCTATTTCTCTCTTAAACTCCATTAATACATTTTCTATTTCAAACCCGTCTTCTCCTATTCCTTCTAACTCCCTATAGATTTCACAATCTGCAGTTGGAAAAATTATGTGAGTTGAATACTAATTGTTGCTAAGCTTAAAAATATGTAAAGGGCATGTATCATCATGACCCAGATTCTTTACAAGTACATGTCTAACTTTTCCTCTATACAAAGATACAATGAGTTTGTTAGATATTTCCGGCAAATTTCGCGACCCCTGATCTTCTAATAAGTTGAAATATAGTGACCTACAGAATCCTTCTATTTGACTTAAAAATCACCTTCAGTAAAAACCTCACTGTTCAACAGATGTTCAAGTACATAACGCACATTGATGATGAGCTTAAGTTGCTCTCTGATGACAAAAGGGTGGCCAGGATGTACCCTAAAAAGTAGGCTGTCATGCTTAGAGATTTAGCCACAATACGTACCTAGAGATGATGAACAGGTTTAAGATACGAGTGAAGAGCGCCAAGAAGGAGCAAGGATACAGGCTGTTCATGGAGGATGTCAAGAAGTTCTTTAGGCATGGGGCTTTTGGGTTCCTTGATTTTACTGCATGCAAGTTTGGCTTTACAAGAGGAGAGAAGGTCAATCTGGGTATTGGGTGTGAACTGGTTGATATGAACTTGGTTAATGATGAGAGTCATATTACAGACCATTTTTAAGGAGAAGAGAGATGGGTTTAGAAATTTACAGTTTGTACCTCATATTGAATTTCTTGATCTTTGGGTTGAGCATCCGTTCTGTGAGAGGTTCATGCAAGAGTGTGAGACAAAGATTGACGTACTGAGGATAAAATCAGTGGTAATTGATTTCTTAGACTTCAAAAGTATAAAAACTCATTATAAAGAACCAAAAACTTTTCCTCTACTGGAGAATGCTTATCTTTGAAATTCACTAAGCACACTGATAATTGACAATGACATCTGAATCTCTTTTCTGCGAGATTGAGTATTTAACGATCTCTCAAGCACAAAGACAAATATTGAACAGATTGTATTAAATAAGCCAAGTCTTCACTATTCAGTCAAAAAGTCTACTCTAGATTTCTTATTCATTAATCTTTGAGAACAAGGCTCATCAGGAATTTCCAAAGTGCATCCAAAATTAAAATAAGCTCTCTTTGAATATTTTGGAATTTGGTAAGCTAAACCCACTGGCTGTTTATTAGCCAATATAACATGAACCTACACAAGAGGTCTCATATTGCTATATAGAGAAAGATAAGCTTCCAACTTCAGAGTTAAAAGTCTCTGAGTTTTCTCTCCTCGCAATTAAAAGAGATGCGACAGCTTGCCTATCGTACAAAATCACTGGATGTGCTACAATTAGTGCTTGATGATGGAGGAATAAAGAAGCCGAGATCATTGGTGAATTCATTAACACAATTGATCTCAATATTGATTCATCAGTTAAAGGTATAAACAAGTTACAATACTTATAGTTGAGGAAATCGAGCAGGATGAGTTCATGCTTCCTGAGAAGGATTTCATAAAGCTTGCACAACGTTCTGACTCTTTAGGACTAGATTCTTGACTAAAGAAAGCCAGTTATGACATAGTAGTATGAATCTCGCCTTCTAAAGTCCTCAAGGGGAACTTTTTAGCTAAAACCCCACTTGCTTTAGAAGATATCTCAATTGCATCAAAAATGATCACAAGCAAATCTCCAAGCTCTAAACTATCAATCAACTTCCAGATCGGAAAGAAGAACGGACGCTCTCTAACAAAACCAAAATGTCAGGACCTATTCTCCACAGCATCCCCAAATTTATTATTCTCAAAGGTACCTATCTCCCAACCTCTAGGTCAAAATTTCATTCTATAACCCCAAAATTCGTACTTGCTTGACCTCCCTCCTCACCAAACCCCGTTTGTCCAAAAAGCTGTAAGTTCTACCCCTCTAAGCCCCTAAATCTAGGCCAAATCAGCCTCTAAAATCCTTAGAAATCACCACTCCAATTTCTAAATAAAGATGTCATCCGTACTGTGTTCCTGCCTAAATTTTAGATATCTTTAAGCTTAAAATTCTCAAGATAAACTTAAAGGCTGAATATTTTGAAGACCTCATGGAGTAAGGCTTGGCTGTAAAAACATTTAGAGAGATCAATAAAGAGACTAAGTGGATCACCCTTATAGCACAGAGGTATATTGAGATGAGATTTTAGGTATGCGGACCCGAAGTTAGGAAAGAGAAGCCTAAAGAAGTCGCCTTTTAAGGAATACTTATTGGATATTGAGAGGTGGTTTGAGAAGTAAGACTAGGTTTTATAACTTTTAGCCAGCTAGAGTTTTGTAATATTGAGTGTCAAGTTGGGAAAAGGCAGGTTGAAATCAATTGAAGAGGAACTTGTGTTGTCAAATTGTAAGCAAGAGTTATTGATCTGGGCATTAAGTTTTCGATGTAGTATTTCTCTTCTAAATGAAAACTCTTATTATCATTAAAATAAGCTCATTTGTTATTATTCTCTATTGCTAAAATCTATATAAAATATTCATATCATTCAACCAATTAACCATCCCCTGGGGTTTTGGGGTTTTGGGGTTTTGGGGTTTTGGGGTTTTGGGG